CACTTAATTTAAGAAATTTTTACTTATTTCTAGATAATTTTTCCAGTGCAGTGAGGTGGTGCTGCTCTGACTCGTCTATCCGGAAGCCAAATGAGTAGAAGAGGAATATGAAGCTTACTAGAGTGAAATGTGCTGCATGGGCGATTTGTGCAATTTGTGCTGAAAGCCCTAAAAAGAAAAGGCGACGACGTATTTGGAAAAAGACATGACTGAGCAAACGTGCTACTACGATCTGTCAATTTTACAGAAAGAACTCGATTTCACTCGCACCCCCGCCATGCTGCTGTGTTTTTATCTGAGAGGAAGAAGAAGAATAGCAATTTGTCCACGACAGTCAACTAAAAAATCAAACATTTTCTCCTGACCTCATGATTCCTGATCAGGAGGTGGTTGTAAGAGGCTGATCGCCCCTGGTTACCCCCTGTACACGACACGCACGATCAGGCTTTAAGTCGGCCCGATCAAAAAACTGTCGCAAAACCGGAAAGTCGTCCCGAAAAGGGACAAAAAAATCATTCAGTGTAAGCCCGGCTTAAGGCTGATTAGGATTATTTAGACAGCAGTCGAACAGATACCTGAGAAGTGCTGCTGATATTTGAAAGCAGATTCTTGGAGCTAATATTCCCTTTTCCTCAATTTACATGATAAAAAAGATGTAAATTAAAATGTTACACAGGTTTCATTTTAAACAGAAATAAAAGAACCAAAAATGTATTAATCGGCAAAAATCGGCCAATACAGATGGCAAAAAAAATAAGTTTGTCCAATATCATTTTTAGGATTAGTATTACTTTACTTTTTACTTTTAATGATGTAAAATTGTTGTTAGATTCTCACTAGTCTTTATTTTTCTGGTTACTCCAGCTGCCAGAAATAACCTGATCTACTTTAAGATGAGGAGAAAATCCAGCAGATATTATCAGAGGAGGTTCTTTATCCTTTCCTAACAAGCAAGTGCAGAATAGTTCCTTCTGCACCAAATATTTTGAAATCTTATTATTTTAATTCTTTTGTCTAATTATAAAATTTGCAAAAGCAGAATCTGCTCTCACTTGTCTAATTACATCATTTTAAACATGAGTCAGATTTTTACGAACCAACAGTGACTCAGCACTTGAGCAGCCATTTAGTTTTACTAAAGTCATTTAGTTTCTACTTTAACTGCAGTACACTGCAAAAATGATCTAGAAATGAGGAAAAATGTCTTAAATTTAGTGTATTTACCCTTAATTTGAGCAGGTAAATAAGATGAACTGCCAATGGAATGAGTATTTTTACTCCTAAAATAAAATAATTAGATAATGTGCACTTAAAATGAGACAAAGCAAATGTTTTTTCTGATTTTAAATGTAAATTGTCTTGTTCCATTGGCAAAGTATCTCCCTTTCCTCCTCAATTCAAGAAAAAAAGTGACTTCTTTTTAAGGAAAAAATGGCTTAGATGTATATTTTTTGCAGTGTAAAACCTCTGGTTTTCTCACAGTGTGTCGTCGCCTCCACTCTGGATAAAGATGAACAATCGATCGTTTTGTAGTCTCCTTTATAATTAAAACCAGTCAACGAATCATGTAAATGTTTGCAGATTCCTGGAGGGAGGCGGCTCTCTAGCGGTTCATTCATCAGGTTATCAGATGGATCATTATGGTTGATTATTGCTCCTTTTAGACGTCTCCGTCTCTGCAGTTTATTTAAAGAGCTCTGATTGGTGCATCGACTCTGTTAGCGAGAAACTTCCTAGAAGTCCCACGGCAACATCTGAAGCTTTTTTTTTTAAGGGGAGGGAGGATTTATGCTCGGACATGCAGGAGGTCCTGATGGTTTGGTTTGGGAGCGTGTGAAGGGGAGAGACGGCTGAAGAAGAGAAACAGGAACACTTACTGTCTGTGAGGCCTCCAGACATGCTGGAAGGGGTGAGCGTGTTGCGCTGCTGGGGGTTGATGAGCTGGCTCACAGACGGAAGCTTGTTGACTTTTCCGTGAGTCGGGGAGGTGGAGCCGAAGGAGGGCTGGGACTGCATGGAGGGCCTGGAGCAGGAGAGAGGAGGTGAGCGCCTGTTAGAAACATCTCTGAATCTCTTCATTCTCATACGCGTTCTGCTTTACTTCATGATTATTGCTTTTTTTTCATTAACAGAAAGAGAATCAAACACCATCAGGAAAAGCCATTTATTCCATTAGATTATGAAAGTGCAGAAGTCAGCAGGATAAAATGATCTGTTTCAAACAGAGAGTCACATGGTGCACATCTCAAGCTTGATCTACAAAGAAGCCATGTTCAACACACAAACTGTCCTGCAGTGACTTTAAAAGACATGACCTGCACTAGCAAATAGTTTTTACTTGTGTCTTTACAATCAAAAAACAAAACCAACAGAAAGGTTTGAGTCCAGCTCTCATGACAATGCAAAGGCTCCAAACATTTATTTACGTATCTCTGTATTCAAATACAAGTTTAAAAAAACAAAACAATCAGGCGGTGTTCCTGTACAAACCTCAGCCTAAAGGCTGAAAGACGGGAACGCTTCACAAACGGCATGCAACTCAGTCAAACAAGTCTGTCCAGCAAAATGAGGAGGGGACATCCCAGAAGAAAGGACAGATCAGGGGGGTAAAAATGGCAGAAAAAGTAGACAGAGAGGAGGTTGGAGTAGGTCGGAGGAAGATGAGGAGGAGGAATGTGGTGCTGAGTTTCAGGAGGAGCTGCAGCGCCGCCTCTGCTCTCCTGCAGACTCCAGGAGCTGGCTACCCAGTCGGCTTTTTATCAGGCTGCAGGGAGGAACCAGAGACAAGAGAGAGAGCAGGAGTAAGGGCTCACTGCAGGAGGAGAAAGCAGCTACAGACACTGTGGAGGTCCACAGGGGTGAAGGAAACAGGAAAGTAAACAGAGTTGGATCACAAACTTCTCACAGACATGACAACCAAACCACTGCAGTACAGCTAACCGGCCAGAAGATGGCAGCGTACACACACACATCACAGCTTTTCATCACCAGGCAATTCCCAGATAGGGGGGGTTCATGTGAATGCAGGGGGAATTAAACACTAACAACCAGAGCAGCAACTAGGATTCTAGAAACAACCAGGAAGCTGGGAGTAAAGTCCAAACATTGTTCTGGACTGGAACCAACTGATACTCGATCTGCTAAACGTCTGGAGCTGCAGAGCTGCTAGGAAGCAGAAAAAAACAAAGGCGATGTAAGCATGACCTCACAGCGCGGCTGTCAGCCCCTTAATGGGGAACCTGTCCGTAAGCAGTAATTACCATGGCAGGCCTGTCTCCTGGGTTCTATGGGTTTAAGTTAAACAGGCGGTGGGAGGAAAACTGGAGCATCTTTTAACAACACCGAGGCCAACAGATGAAGCTGGCAGAGCACCCAGAGGTGCTATCATGTACCACTGAAACCTTCTCGCTTCACAGAGACACAGACAGGTACACTTGTCACCATTCATCAGCTTTGGCTCCCGTCCCGTCTGGCAGCTTTTAACGCCAGGCTGGCAGCTTTAGCTTCTCTGCAGCTGCAGAACATCTGATGTTTTTTCTAAGCCACTTTTTCATCATCCAATCCTCCAGCAACAGATCAGTCAGTTAGTGGCATTCAGCTGGGGTCGGTCAGTAAAACATGCCGTTTAGGAAGTAGAGACAGAAAACGAGGAAGGAGTTAAATCTAGGAGGTAGAAATGCACTGATGATCAGCTGGTGAGCCAGGATTGGCTGGTTTTCAGCTTGACCGCTAAGAAAACCGTCTTTAATTTGATCACGATGAAGAGGGAGCTAACAGAAGGAGCAACAACATGTTTCTACTTTTTTTTTTTTTGTAGCTTCTTTTGGCGCTAGTGGCTCAGGTTTTTTTCCGTTAGTTTTTTTTTGGACATTAGGCTGACAGGAAAGGGGGTATGAGAGAGTGGGGAGAGACATGCGGCAAACGACCATAGGTCGGAATCGAACCCGGGTCGGCCGCGTCGAGGACTAAAAGGCTGTTTTATGCTCAGAAACCAGGTCGTCTGCATGTGTCGCAGTTTACGCAGATATGCTTCCGCCCTTTCCGCAGACACTCTGCTGCACCTCTCCAAAAATTTAGGTGACTGCAGACAGGAGGCCTCTGATTGGTTAAATCTACATCCGCTGTACACTATGCGTATTTCCTGTTTGGTAGCTTACCGGCTTGTTTTGTTTGTATGACCACCACTGTGGAAATCGACTTGTGAAGACGGACCAACTAGAAGTGAGAGATGCGCAAGAACGCTGGGACTCTTTTTCCACCTCAATCCCCGCTTTTGTTCGCCCTCATGTCCCTCCGTTGTCGCACAAACTTGCCCCCACTTCCTCACTGCCTCGGCCGTATCTAGACTCACAGCTAGTTCGTGATTGTCCCTTTTGCGTTGTTGCGTGCAATAACATAGCACAGACCATGCTTCAAAATTGGGCATAAATCAAAAATATCTGCGACAAGCTCACTGTGACACACTGCTGGGGGTGTAAATCACTAACCTGACTCCGCCAGATGGATTTGCTCGCATATCCATCTGAAAACCTTCCTCTGAGAAAAGCCTCCAGAACAGTGTTTTGCTCTTCTTTCAGTGAAGAAATACTCTGTTATTCCGATAAAACTTGCTCGATAGCCACGCTAACGCTAGTTTCATCGGCTGAAGCCGCCATGTTCTTTAGACTGAACTGTCGCGCTTCTCGTTGCGTTACACCTCAACCCGCCTCAAAGCCAACGCTGATTGGACGTTCGTTTGGTGAACGGCTCCAAATTTTCTGTAACGGAGAGTCTCCAGACTGATCTGCGAGTGAAACCTTGAAAGCTCGCGAGATCAGGATGGTCTCACAAGGCTAATAAATCACACCCATCATGGCGATTCGATTCAGAATCGATTTCCTGACCCAACAATTCGATTATTTTCGATATCATCTTCGTTTCCTCAGCCATGTCTGTCTTGCCTAGTGTTTACGCGAGTGTGTGTGCATGTGGAAAGAGGATAGGGGCTAAAGGAAGCGAGGTAGGAGGGCAAATTAGGTTTAAAGCTACCGCAGCACGGGAGTCAGAATTACGTCCAGGAGCAAGTGGATAAAAGTAGACTGGAGGAAAAAAAACAACAACAAAAAAATGAATCGATACTTATGCAGACGTGTCGATGCATCGGATCGTCGGCTGCTGGATCGATGCATCGATACAAAACGATTATTATTTACACCCCTACACACAGCTGCGGGACTATAACCAACCCTTAAGGCCTACGTACATGGGTCATGTGCGCTAAACACTGCCTAAAGTGTTTCTACTTTATCCTTTGGAGATTTTGTTTTATGGAAAATGTCTGGCTTGGAGATGTTTACAACTTTGTAGTTAATGAATTGATGCTTGCAGTCAGAAAAGGTGAACAAGCTGATTGCTAATTTTAGGAAAACAAATCATCTAAATCGCCTTTGCCTATAGATATATTATAAATGCTTTTAATTCTGGTCCCTTTATGTATTAATTCGGTTTATTTAATAACAGAGACAAACTGAATAGAACAGCAGTCTCTTGCCTGTTTCATGGCGCTTATAGTGCATTTATAGAAAGTGAAATAATAACGGCTTCCCTGAAATGTCCCTGATCAGAGATTCAAATTGGCCCCAGAAGATGATCGGTGCATTTCCACTACTGCTGCTACTTCTTTAGAGGAATCACAGCGAGCACTCACTGTTTCTGAAGGAGGTTCTGCTGCTGCTGTCTGTACGACTCTATTGTGTGCTGAGGCAGGAACTGCATGAGCTCCAGTGACTCCTTGATTTTCACCAGCATTTCGTAGATTTCACGACCTTTGATCTGCGGGCCGAACAGAGGCAGTTAAGAAGCAGTTCTGAGCTGAAACACGTTTTTGATTTTAGGAGATAAACAGCAATTCAGGCTTACTGGTAAACAAAAAACTTCCTCATCCGTTGACCGTCTCTTCTTGATGGTGGACATCTGGATGCTTTGGGAAATTTGGCGGTAAGCTGAAAAGCGGAGAGAAAAACGAGTGAGTAAAGGTTGGTGTAGCGCTGAACTCTAAGCCTGAGCCAGAACAGGAGGAGAATCAAGCAGGGGAGCAGACGGAGGGGTGCTGTTAGTGTCTGAGACACGTCACATAAAGCCAAAGCTCATCAGCCCGTCACCAGCCCCAGCCCTACTTACGGCGCTTCGTACCCTCACTGCTCTTTGAGTTGTCCGTTACATGCTGCTTGCGGATGCTGTCCTCATCCGCCTTGCGGTCTCGGCCCGGGCAGGCGCAGATCCTGGCCTCGAAGCAGCGGCGGCCCAGAACCTGTCCACTGCACAGAGCAGACCGAGCCTCGGTCAGACACCAACTAAACGGACGCCACGGGCTACTGAGAACCATGAAGTGTGTCTTACTCTCTGGTCTCCAGGGTGACGATGATGAGGATTGGGCGCCGGTTCATTCCGCCCACGCAGCTCGAGTTGCACATAAAATTATATAGAATTGTTGTAAATTCGGTCCCGACCTGAAGAAGAAAACAAAGACAGAGACAGAAATCAGATTTATTCTTTCCGTTTGAGCTTTGGCCAACATCTCCACATAAAACCTGCTAAAAGTCTTTCATTTTATAAGTATATTTTACATTTTAAAGCTGGTATCCTGCTGTAAAAACCTTTTTTTCATACTATCATCCTTAATTTAGCAGCTTTCTTATTAATTAAGGAAAGCATCTCCAAACAATCTATGCATGGATCTAGATCAATTTTGCAAGTATACAAAAAAAAAAGCAGAAATTAGTTCTCATGGGGAAGACTTTAAATCAGAGCACAAATGATTTTCCTCTGATTAGTGGAGGTATTTGGTAAAATGCCTCAAACACATCCTTAAAACTTGCATGCACTGAACCCCTAATGTGTTTGCCTATCATAAAAAATGCTCATAAAATGAGTTTTATTCTCCAGTTCTAAGTGTGAGACCCTTAAAACGATGGACTCACCTGCGGTGGTTCGTACGGCACTAGCACGCTCTGCCGTCCAGTGATGTTGTCCTCCACGTACTGAGCGTGGCTGTTTCCCTCCACCCGGATCAGATGGCTGGGCGGCGCGATCTGACCTGTTGGCGGAGCGACCTCTGTCATTAAACGTTGCCTCCCGTCACAAACAACAAGCGAGGGGAGATTTCTTACTGACCATCGTTAAACTCGCGGCTCAGCTCATGGTTCGGGCAGCGCTTCACCACTTCCGTCACGTGCTCAGCTTTCTTGTACACGGGCATGGCCCTGATCACGGCGCCCTGCGGCGGTGGGGTGAGCACTTTAATCTGAATTGGGCAGGTCTTTGCGATCTGGCAGTAGAGCTTCTTCAGGTCTGTAGAGTACTAGAAAGAGAAGGACAAACATTAGAGCTTCAAACGTTTCAAACCAGGTGCAGCAAACAGGAAGTGCTCTCTGCTCTGAGGCTGCTTCAGATTTTTTTTTTTCACAGTTTGCATTTATTATTTCCAACAGATTTATCTTTGCAACACCTGTTGCCCCCGACTGAACACCTTTGGTTGCCCTGGAGAAAAAAGGGATAAATGCAACACTGTGATTATGACCTACATAAATAAACACACAGGAGGTTTGCTGCAACAAGTGTGTATTGGTAACCTCAAAGATGTCTTAGAGAGAGCCTCTGGGACTTCCGCCATAAAATGGACCCCCTCCAGGAGCAATTAAACAGGGGTCCTGGCTTTCATCTTAAGAGGCGGGAGCATCTGATGGCTACTCATCATACAGAGCAGCTCTTCTGAAGCGGGCTGGCAGGCTTTAGCTGCATATTAGGATGGCTGCAGGTCCTACTTGTGCGCTTGGATGAAAATGAATCGCTTCTAGGTCTGAGTGCAGGAGTGGAGGCCTAATCGCGAGATCCATCCGTGACTGATGCCGAAATGTGATGGTTGCTCAAACGCAAACTGGCTGGCGTTCAGGTGTGCGAGCCAAAAGTCATAAATAATGGATGTGCCTTGATCCCTGGCACTGCTGGGATTGATAAGCAGTAAGCCATCAGAAAAGACTGAATTGTTACTAATAGGCGCAACCCAACTGTGTAAACAAACCATTCAAATCACTGCTATGTAAGCAGAGCTTTAAATCCTCTGTGTGCAGAAGACACAGGCTGGGGGTGGAGGTGAATATTTTCCTGTCAGCTTCATTTTAGAGAGAAAGAGAGAGAGAGAGAAAAAAAAGCACATTTAAGATAATAATAAAAAAAAGTAAGGAAGACGCCAGGGGCTGTTTGATAATAACGCAACATAAGATTCCAGGGAATCGGGGAATTTTTCCTGAACCAGGATGTGTTGATTTGTAATGTTACACAAACTTGGCACACACACATCTTACTCTTCCCTCCAAGCAAAACCTGTTTATTACCAAGAAAACCAACCAAACCAGCAGTTCTTTTAACTCTGACTAAACAAATCACAGCCTTGATAAAGCATAAAAAGCTTTTTTCACATGTAAGAAATGTGTTTTATGTAGTAGACCAACACATGACAGGGGATGCATGGGTTTAAACCCTTTAGGCTGTTTTATGCACTTACATAAAGAGCTGTTTTGCATACTACTCCTTTCCTGTTTCCTTATCCTGTCGTTTTTTCATGTGAGTGATAAAAAACTGAAACAAAATCAGGTGTTTGTGCACGCAAACATGGCCATTTAGGTTGATTCTTAGCCTCCCTAAGTCAGTACTCTCTAGAACTGAATGCTCACATGCAAAGAAGCTGAAGTTATGGTTTTTAATTGTTTTCCTGCAGACCAGGAAAACATACAGAGCCTCAAATCCCCAGGAAACTCTGCAGCTCCTCCAGAGTCAGTTAAGGTTCCTGATTAATGTCTTAGTGGTTTGCAGCTGCACCACACTCTGCATAAAAGGGTGGATTTCTGGTTTTAGTGGATTTTATTCAAGGGCATTAAAGTAAAGAGGGCTGATTAATGCTTTCAATTTCAAACTGTTTGCTGTTTCACAATGTGCTCAAATTCCCTCCATGTAGATAACCAAATTAAAACAAAACCTAAACACAAAGGGATTGTGACTTTAAAGGATTCAGTGACTTTTAAATCTAAATGTTTTTTTTTTTTTCAAATAACAATTTCTCCTTAAGAAGAAGAAGGGAAAAAAAGGACTTAAGATAAATAGTGGTGCTTGTCTCCTCGCTTCTAACCTGATACTCCCCGTACGGCTCTGTCAATCAGCTAAATGAGGTGGAGAAGCCAAGCGCAGGGGCTGGGGAACAGAGGGGAGCCGAGGATTAAGAGGCGAAAAGTAAGACAGAAGTGCTGCCTGAAAAAAAGGGTTGTTTTATGGTGGTTGGAGAAAATAACAGATAGCTGGATTTATTCAGCTTAAGATAAAAAAAACAACAAAAGTCGAAGCACAATAATCTAATCAGACGTTTAAAGTTTGGTTAGATAATATCTCATTTGTCTTTCACCTCAAATCACATAGAAGCGCAAACTCAGAGCAGAGAATCATCCCAGCCCTCAGGCTACAAACTTTAAGAGCACAGCTATGTGCTGCTGGTGCCGTTTGCTGAGAGGGGAGCGAGCGCAGGAGGTGCTGCTGGGAGCAGCAGGCAGCGTTCAGGGTGGAGGACGGCCGGTTGACTGATGGGATCCAGTGGCTCACACAGGGCGCGGCGCTAAGATCTTAACATGTAATTATGGGCCTTTCATTGGTCACAATGTGAATTACACAGCCCAGAAACAACACGGCGCACAAAGCAGAGCTGTTTAATCACATTCATTTCAAAGAAAAACTGTTTGCAGCCATCGCACGTGATTCGCCGCTGGACATCCACGCGTGGCAGCGAGCCACGAAACGCAACAAACCTGAAGAAGCTGTTTATGGCCTGTTAGTGGAAGCCAACAAGCAGAATGGGAGCAGGAGACTGCCGAGGCGACTTTGCATGGAGTTTAAAACCTTCGTGTTTGTGTGCCTCTTCTTTCTAAAATCCTGCTGAACTCTCCCCAAAAAGAGAGAAGAAGACACTTCCTTTGCAGCGCAGGTTGAGGCAGGCCCACAGCTGTAGCGTTCCTCTCTCCCTGACAGGCGCTGCGGGCGCATGCAGGAGTCAAGTCCTGACAAACATCAGGCCTTAAACAAGCACTGTTTGGCGCCTCTGGTCTTGTCTTCTTCATACCTGACATGTCATGTCATGCCTGGAGCTTCTCACCAACCTGTTTAAATCAACAATAATCCCAAAAAGTTTGCTTTTTTTCCCCCTTTCCTCTTTTTTTTTTAAGAGGCAGAGGAAATAAACTGCTTCTTAGAGCAAAACTTTAAACGAATAAAACATTGTGGAGGGTAGCAGGATGCTTCCATCCCCCCCGTGTAGAAAATGCTCGCCCGTCGTCAGCAGGACTTATCTCGACCACCCGATCACGGTGATGACACGCGTCCTGAGGCTAACCTGCGCGCTGCCCTGTGGCCTCTCGTAGACTGGAGATCCAATACACATCACTCCCCCCCTTCCTCAACCCTTTTGGGTGAGAAAATAAGCAATACAACTGCCATCTAACCCAAACTGTTAAACTGACATCAAATTATGTCTAATTTTATTCTAAGTAAAAAGGTTTCGTGGGTCTGGTTGCCTTACAGTGTTGGGGGAAAATATTCCTTCTTATTGCAACTACAAACAGACAGAGATGAAAATGACAGAGAAGGAAAACTGATTACAGGAATTAGGGGAGGGAACAGACAAAAGAGTGAAAAAAAAAGAAACACAACAATGGAAGAAGAAGAACATGCTAGGTTTCTTAGCGCCGAGCCAAAAAACATGAGTCTGGTAACTGTAGCTATAGAGGAACGTGCTTTTCCATGACGATCATGGAGAGATCCCAAAGCTGTCATAAAATCTTTCCAACTCTTCCTTTAAAAATTTCCCCTCCACCTTTTCCCATCTAAAGCTCTCAGGGCTTGTCTTGCTTTGACGGGCGAGTCGTGACAAGCTCCCTGACACAAACAAGTCTCAGCCCAATTTTGCGAGGCGTGGGACGGGCCCGCAGATGTTCCAGGGGCAAGCTGCGTCTTGTCGCCTTTCGCTGGAACACTCTTCTCTTTGAGCATTCACAGGCCCTCCTCCTCCTCCTCCGGCGCAATGTGAGATCCAGCCATCAAGCTTAACTCTCCTCAAAAAGAGACAAGAGCTCTCTACGAGAGCACAGGGTTCAGAAAAGAGGCACGTAGTATTTACACAAGTATTACCTACAGGCCCTCAATCCATTACTGTAATCCCTCTGAGCTCTGCAGAGTCCCAGTGATAGCCCAGACCATGACATTCCTCTCCTTTGACCGCGCTTGGTGGCAGATAATACACACAGCAAACACAACCAATCTTTGAGCTGACAATGGTCGCCTTATTTGAGACACTTCATTATACATCGCCAGGCCGCTCATTCGTTTGACCTTCTGCTTTCCTCTGACCAATGGGTGAGGGTTTGTCGGAAAGAGCGCTGTGTGGGAGACATTCTGGGAAGAGTTGACGTGTTGTGCGTCTACTGTGTGTGTGTCATTCTAGACAGGAAGAGGTTAAGGTGTGGGTTAGGGATTAGGTGTGTCTCCATAAGAACAGTCATCAAAAAGTACAGTACACAGTCCAATAAGTCCTGTGGAAGATCCCTCAAGCTTTCAAAAAGGGAGCATTAGCAGATCTATGCAGCAAGCAAAGCTGCGCTGGTGACATCTTCGGTGGCTCTCTGCCATCCGTCCGTCAGTCCGGCAATTGAGCTATTGGGCTGAGATTAGGGGAGCTTTGAGAAAGAGCTCCTGAGATCAGATGAGGGAGCCTCCTTCAAGATGAGAACCGACACTATAATCACTCGTCTTTAGCATGAGGTAGGCCTCTGCAGAGGAGCGCTGAAAAGGACTCCCTGTGAGGCCATGAGGAAAATCAACAGAACAAGAATTATAATTAAGTGAGGCAGAGCTGTCATGGCTGATGAATGTTATTAGTCCCATTAATCTTCGGATCCAGGTTGAAAGCCCAGCAAAGCTGAGATGGGTTTAACCCGTGTGGCACATGCACACAACTCTGTTAGAAATGATAAAACCACACTATATTAACAAGTCAAATTCAACACAATAAGAAAAAAAAGCATCAAATCTATTGGTAGAAAAAAAAAAAACATCAAACAAAGGAGAGGAACCACAAACTCCAGATTGCATCAATTCACACCCTTGTTTTATTTAAGCTCTCTTCAACAAGAGGCTGCTCCCATCCTGATTCTACACATCTCTTGCTCATTTCTTGTCCTTATTCCTTTTCCCTCTTAGATTTTCTAGTTCTGAAAGTTTTCGTTTTAAAACATAAATAATCCTCAAATGAAGTCATGCTTCATTAGGATCAATGAAAAGAAAGTACATTCAGTGCCAGCTTTCTTGCAGACACCTGACAGCAGCTGTGCTTAGACGCACACAAGTTCTCCATTAGACTGAAATTTATTCAGATAAAAATAAAAATGTATATATAATCAGACTGTAGTTTAATTACACACTAGTAATTGGAATGAAACGGCCAATCGCAGTAAGAAACAGTCTATAACAATATTTAAATATTGAGACACCAGTTACTTATTGTCAATGTAAGCGTAGCTAAAAGCTGACAGGAAGACAGAGCAATTTATTTCTTAATTCCCCTTGTTTCAGCCAGAAAACAGCCCTCAGCATAATAGCACTACCACCGTGTCTCACTACTCCTGACTGATGCAAATTTGGAAAATTATTACAGCTAAACTTTATTTTAGGCTACGGATACAGGAAGGCTGAAAGACAACATTCCAATAAAAATATATTTTAAGCAAATTTTGCAAAAAATGTGGCTTTTAGTTTATTTTTAAGTCCATGTTATCTCTTAGAAGCCATGTTAAAAGAAAAATCTGCAGACTCAACAGAGTATTTATAATTTTTGCAATGTAAAGCAGGTGTTTTAAGCAATATTTCTTTGTAAATCGGTAAACATTAAGTCAAGGTGTTTGTTGGGAGATCTGCCCTTCATCCAGTGTAACAACATTAAGCACGGTAATCCGCTGCTTTTCCACTTTGAGTAAGACCGAACCAACCAGTCTTACATCATGTGTTGTGACTCTGGGACACTAGTCTGTTTCACCCCATGTCTATTATGGGATGTGTAGTAAAGCAGGCTCTGGGGCGTGCCTCTCATGAACCAACTCTCAACCACCTTACTCTAAATGAGACAAACACTTTTGTTTTTGGGCTGTGAAAATGAGAGGGATGAGCGAGGCGGTGTGGGAATTAGGTGAACGATGCAATCCCACACTTGGCGTGGCGAGTGAGTAAGGAGAGCACTCCCCGATTTTACCATTTTAAATCAGAGCTGACGGGAAGACCTGAGCCGCCTCAATAAAAGCTCAGGTCTGTAAAAAAATGTTGGTGATTCAGGATTTCTTTACGTAATCATCATGGTGTCTCAGAAGGTCCGTGATGCAATCCTTGTAGTTGTGACATCCTAATTCTCCATGTTGCAGCTGTTGTTCCCCTCCTGACTTGTTCCAAAAAACCACCCGAAGCGCCGTTTTTTTTTTTTTTTTAACAGCAATTGTCTGTCTATTGTTAGCTAAGGAACATCGGCAGAACAAACAGAATGTTTTTGTTGCAGATCAGACACATAAACAACTAAATGGGTGGAGCAATGGACAACAGTTGTCCCTCAGGCCTGTCACTCATAATCAGAGAGCAGGAGGAGCTGGTTGTGATTCAACGACTCACCTTGTTTTCTTCTTTTGTCAACATAACGCTGGCGAACTTTGACCGACTTGTAGGTGAACCGAGGACACATTAATACTTCTGCTACCTTTCTGAAGGTTTTTATTCGGGTACATTTCTACATTTTGTTCTCACTCTGACCACCTTTAATTTAAAGGAATCTACCCAGTCTAGTACCATAGTGCTCTGCGCTTCTTAACTAACTCCTATTCCCGTACTCATCATTGTACGCTGTATGAACTGGTAGGCTGGCCGTCACTAAGTCTACGTAGACAACTTCATTTGTATATTTTTCTATACAAGGCCATGTTGGGTAAACTGCCGGCATATTTATGTAATCTCCTCAAGCCAAATTCCAGCCATTTTCATCTCCGTTCCACCAGGTGGCGCTCTTACCAGGTTCCAATGGTTTTTACTGAGCTGGGGAAGAAATCCTTCTCTTACTTTGCTCCATGGTCCTGGAATAATTTGCAAAACTTGCTCCATTTAAATGATCTAGTCCCATTGAATGAATTTAAGGCCATGTTAAAATGTCATGTAATTCAAAAAAGTAACTGCCCTATGTGACCTGTCTTTTCCTCTATGTGAGATTTTGTCCATGTTGTATTTCTGTTTGTATTTTAACTGGTGTGCTGTCTTGGCCAGGTCTCCCTCGAAAAAGAGATTTCAATCTCAAGGGACTTCATGGTTAAATAAAGGTTAAATAAAAACAATAAAAAATTCCATCAGGAAGGTCCCTTCAAGTTATTCTAGCTTCCACATAATTATATCAAGTTCATAACAGACAACTGGCCAAGATATAGTCAGGGATTAAAACCACGATGAATGGAAAACAGAATAAAATCTAAAAAAATTATACATGATAAATTATGATTAAATAATATTTATGAGATGAAGAATTTTTATGATTAATTGTCTCCAAAACAATTCACAAGTCTCATTTACTAAAATAAACAGATAAACAAAGGGTAGCACATAAAAAAAAAAGGTTTGATTGTCAGTCTTGATGTTAAAGGGAACACCTGGTTATGAGATGGAGGTAAAAATTAACACGGGAGCAAACTGACCTGAATATTCTGGGCTGTTATTCAGATTCAAATTTCTACATCTTTACTGTTTTCTGCAAACTGTAAAAAAAAATCTACAGACCTTCTATTACAGGTGGCTTTATTTTTTATACCTTAATTTTATGGCTCCAGTGGCCTTTATTTGAAAGTATACACATAGGAAAGGGATGAAAACATGCAGCAAAGGTCTCTGGGTTGGGATACGAAACCAAGGACTGCCTCATTTATTGGTTGTGTGTGGTGAGGGGATGAGGTTAGCTTCTGAATGCAGATTGGATTCTAGGACTGTTCACTATTGTTTTAATCTATGAAACAGATTTGTTAAATCTGAACTGAAAATTAGAGTTTGTGATCTGTATTACCCTAACTGTACTTGCAAAAAAAAAAATTCAAATACAGGATCTAAACTGGATCCAGGAATCACTGATTCACTGATTAAAATCCAATTCTAAGATGGTTTACCTGTCTAACCATTAACGAATCAATAAAACAAAAGACAAAACAGATTAGATCAACAATTAATGTGTCAAGCAGCAAATCAAACAAAATTACTAAACTTTTTATCTTATTAAAAAATAAAATAAAATAAAAGGGATGGAAAAACTGGAAACATACTTTTTTGGCGTGTCAACAAACAACTTAGCAAAAAAAGCCAACATTAACAGTAATCTGTGCAGCTTTTTGATCTGTTTGTCACAAAAAAATGCTGCTTCTTTTTCTCTGTTGGAGTCAATAAATTGGGTCAATTCAAAGGGCTCCTTGTAACAAAAGGTTTTATTTAAACCATATGTTATGTGTAGACACAACAAGGATTCATTCCTTGGGTTAGGTCCCATTGATCTGCTTGAATGATAAGATGAGAAGTAGGAGACACTATAAACAAAACCCCTGGAAGACCTCCAAGTCTCTAAAAAAAATAGAAGGAATGTCTGCCTAGCTGGACTAAAAATAAACATCTTACTAAACTGGATACATGTTATTTTCTATAAGCTGATTAATCTAACCTGTAGGTTACATGGTTGAGAACAGGGCAGTAAATGTCCCCAGTGGTGATAATGGAGTCTGTGGTGAGTGATGCTCCCCCCTTCCTCCCTCCCTTTTTTTCAGCTAGTTAACCAGAACCGCCTGAGGTTGACACATGATTTGAAGCTATACATCTAAAGTGACATTCCTCCCTTTCCAAATGCAATTGTGAAACTCATGACTTTTTAACGTACACCTGAATCTGCCTAGAGCATCGGCAGTAAGATAAGGAGTTCAAACGTAAAGGAGTTCCTTTAACCTGTAACCTGCAAAACTCATTCACTCGATGACAGCAAAAACACTAAAGTGTGGGTTTGTTTTATCATCACTGCTGATAAGATATTTGAAGCAAAAAAATGAGGGTTGTGATGCAAAACATTACAGTTATTAAAAAAGAAAAAAAGGCAATTCATAATCACCAACTTACCTGAATTTGTCTCAAACTGACTTTGACAGTGTGGCAAAGAGACAGATCAACAACTTAGTCTTTACTGTTTAGGTTCCTAAACCTAAATAAAGTCAATGAGGAACATATTCTAGCAAGGAATCTGTGAGAGATTATCCTGGTATATTAAACTTCCAATAAAAATACTTTTATAACAGCATTCACACACAAAAAAAAATCTATAATGTAAAACATTCTATATCTCATATCATATTCTAGCAAAATAAAAATAATACATTATATCACATAGCATATATTTATAATATCTGTAACACATGATCTATTTTTACTCTAATACAAGCTCATGCTAGTTTTAGGAGTGCTTTTCTAGTATGTATGTTTTCTGTGCTGTCTTTCGGATCTTTATAGAGTAAAACTAGTCAGGATAGTAAGCCTGAAGTCGGCTTCTAAAACATGCAGCTAATACAAATATTTCCAAACAACCGAATATGTCTCTCTTTAATAAGTGAGAGTGAGGTATAGCAGCCCAAAATACTTGGTGAGAGGGAAAACTGAGTTACTCTTTACTTGGAACAGACTGAAAGAACTTCTAGAAAGGTCTTAATGATCAATTTATGAAGTCTTGATTTTCTTAAAAACTGGCCCAGGCCTACATTGCAATCCACTATGGCTCCTAATAACTTAATATAAAAACTGATTCAGGAGCAAATTGATATTTATAAATATATGCACAACAAAAATGTATATTCTAACTTTTTTCTTTTAAACTGCATCCTCTTCTTATTCTTTTTTTTATTTAAAGCCTAATAATAATAAACTTTAAGTTATGTGAAATACAAATATTGTAATTGATTAAAACTAGTAACTACTAGTTGTTTGTGACTGGAATTAGACTTAAGGTGATTTTTAAGACTTCCAAGGTTGAATACTTCTGCTAAACTTGTTAGAAGTATCTGGAAAAGCAGCAAACCCTGAGAAGACTGGAGGAGCATCTTCTGCAAAAAGAACATATAGAGTGGGGATGAGACTTACCGTCCAGGTGGCGGACTTGGCTGTGCTAGACTGCTGGAAGGACACGTCGAAGGTGTGCGGCCCAGCGTAATCCGTATTGGATGGGATGGCTGGTGATGGAGAGAGGGCATCGAATGTGGAGCTGGGCTGGGCGTAGGGCGATGGGGCAGTCACGCTGTTCTGGGCGTGCTCGTTGTTGTAGGGGCTGGTAGAGGTCGAGCCGTTGTTCTGCTCCATGCTGTTCAGGAGCCCCAGGTTTGTGTACTGCGACTAGTGAGGAAAACAACAACAACAAAGAACAAGTTCAGTAAATACAGTAGAGATTTTATTCTTAATTTAACAATTAAAATGCTAAGACGGAAAGCTGTTCATCACACAAACAGGAAGGAAGTTTTTTGTTTGAGAATCTATCTTTTAAATTACAATAAGATGGAAAAGATAAACTGAACTTCATTCAAGCCCTACATAAACTGATAGAATATGTTTCAACAAGTTTATCGGAAACTTTTAATTTTCTTTAAACGTCACAATAAGGATGTATTAAACAATCTGTTACTGGTGGTTTGAATTCAGAGCCAGGCCCTTCCTGCTTGCTCCACTTGCCATTCACCCCATTCCTTTCCGTTTATAAATGGCACATTCCTGGACGAGGTGCCATGTCTCTCGACTCTTCGAACAGCCATTAATCTCTCGGGGGCCTCTTGTTTATTTCAAGCACGGCCGACCACAGCTGTCCGACTCACGCCTCCCTACTGCCAGGTGTTAGTGTCATACCAGGTAGCCAGCGAAACACGGTGAAAGGACCTGGTTTATGTAACTTATTGTCAAAGGAAGTGATTTATAAATCGATAATCCATCTTTCTTACTCATGGATCCAGGCATTGTGAGTCAGACTGAGTCAAAGACAAAGAGTCAGACTGATACACCTGGAAAAAGGTCATCTGAGTAAACCTTGGTGTATTTGTGCAACAGGGGGACGGGGGAGCTCGCTGTGTGGATGAGGGTCACTTAGCCTCCACCTTCCACCCTCCACCCGCCCGGAAACAATGACAACAGAGCTCACAGGAGCTTTTCTGCAGGACAATTATGGCGGTATGCAGGTGTTAGGAGACAAGTGTCTTGTGAATGCAGGGGTGGGAGGGGGACACATACCCTAAGACCCAAAGAAAAACTCTTTCTGCCGGAGAGCCTCCCGCTTCTACAAACACACACTCTCTCACAAAGGGCTAATTACACACATGTATTAGGAGGTTTTCAGCTCAATGGGCTGCAGAGGAGGTCTTCTACCTATGATCCTACAGCTGAACTAAAAAAAAGGGACATTGTGAACATCCATTTTAAAGTGAGAAACTTTATTAGCACTCCCAACTTTTGCAGTCTACATAAACATTACAATTAATCACAAGGGAGTGGCTTAGTTTCCTGTTTTCCCGTATGTTAGGGTGAATGATGATATCAGAGCAAGCCTTTGAAATGTGGTGTAATCCCACTGAGGCACTCAGGCAGGGGGATGACACAGACACCCCCAGCACCTGACGCAGGAGGCAGCCATAGGGGATGTGACAGGCACCAATTATCAATGCGAAATTATCATTCTAAAGAAAAAGGCTGATGCTGGTCTGAGACCAAACACAGATAAAAGCTAAAACACAAAGCAGAGCTGCTGGCACACTCCCAAGCAACGCTCGTCACCGTCACACCAAACGTAAGGATCAAAGATAAAAAATCAAGCAGGGGACAAAGCCATAATTGGCTAGTTAACAACGTCTCACCTCATCTCATCATATTTTCATGTTAAATTGGCTGGAAGTGGGGTGTCAGCTTTAAAAAAAGGTTAGTGTGAGGCACGTTTCGTTCCTCTTTGCTTCCCTCCATAAGATCTGATTCCACTATAATACAGTAACTGCTTAATAACCACTTTAGCGGCTCTTAAAAATTCCTCCTGTTTATGGCCCGGCTCTGTGTTTAGGCCTTCGGGATGATGTGCTGCTAAGCGAGAGCTCAGTAAATCAGCAGCCTTGGCTTCCTCAGAAGCCTTTAATAAACTTTGCTGAACGGCTCGGCTGTGTGTTTTCTCACTGTTTCTCAGTCTGTGATGAAAGAGGTGAACCGTTTCTGGCCAACAGGAGTAGGAGAAAAAAAAAAAAAAAAGAGGTCTGCTGACCTTTAAAGTGATTCCCTGTTCAATGCAATGTTGGAATCCTAACTATGCATAATGCATATCAGGAATACCTGAAATACACTTGGCAGCACTAATTTAGACGGTACTGATAGGGCCAACACATTGGCATTTGGTATGGCATACTAACACATTAAATTACTCCATGCTCCGTCTTGCTCTGTATTTATCGATAAGCCAATGACAAGAAATATTTGAGTTCAACAGATGCTGTCAAGTATTTATGGCCTTTCTTGGAAAACCAAGACATGCAAAGATTGGGGGATTTCTTAAGGAAAGTAACACATAAACTCTCACTTATGCAAACTTTAATGACCTTGTTTAAATGTATAAAAAATCTGAAATAGACAACAGAAGAAAACTGTGTTCTTTTTTAAGAGGTTGCAGTTTCAAAGCCAACTGAAAGGAAAGGTTTAACTTCATCTTCATTTCTACATCGAAGCTTCCCCTTTAAGACCATCAGTTTTTTTAAAACAGAAGCTCTGATTCAAAAAACTATGAAATAAATCCTAATTTTCAGTATTTTCGGACCAGGAGCTGACCAACTGGTGTATTATTGGCGAAAACACCAATATTCCTGACTTAACTTCTGCAAACCATCCTCTTGCTGCTAAATTTATTGGGCCAATGATCATTATAAAAGGAGCCAGAGCAGACCTGGCCTGAGGGGCAGAATAGCTCCCATTCCAGACTCTCTAGTGACCCTCCATGATCCTTGGGCCAGTTGCTAAGAGCATGAGCGGAGCTATGATGAGTGACCACAGGGGTGGGAGGCATTAAAGGCTCAATAGGGGTGGGGGGAGCTGATGTGGGACTGGGTCTATCTGCACCTCATACCTGCTGGGGTGGGCAGAGCAGGTGATTGTATCTACATCAACATACCATTAAAGCAATTAGGACCCTGAACCAAACAGCAGCGCCTGGCCAGCCCTATTCTAATGACTGCAGCGGCTCCCTGGAGACTGGAGACGGGGCAACCTGATACTCCAGGCACTGCAGGTATTGAGGTGGACACCACTTAAAGAAGCCCCTCAACTCTACAACTTAAAAGACACGGAGGTGACACACCTGCAATCTGCAACCTGCAATCTGAGAGTCTATCAACCAGTCAACATCTGCATTGGGTGGAGAATTAGGCTGGTGAAAGAAATAGAAACAGTATTAGACTAAAGCCTCAATGAAACCTTTTATCCCCCCCATTAGAAGTTTTAAAGCTAATTTATCTAGTTACAGACCATAATGGTAAATGAAACAGGGCAGAAACAATTAATGTGACGTTTGATGAGCAAACCACCCAAAACAGTGATTCAACTCTGCAGAAATATTATTGTTATGCATTTAAAATAAATGTATATATATGTTGTTAAATTGTTTATATCCAGAAAACCTCTAGTGGTATTTCTAAGCACTGCATGCAGATTTCTTTGATATGTCTTAGCCATATAAAATGTGCAATCACTGGATTATTCATGAACTAAAATAATCGACAGCTGCAGCCATTAAACGCTACCTTTATGACAACCGTCTAATTTACAAAGAAACATCTAAAATCTCACCTTTTTTGTCGTGATGTTTTTGCAAACCTTAATTGTTTAAAAAATATATGTAGGCTTTCAGGAAAAAAATAAGTTTGATTTTCAAAACTCTTCCGTTTAGCATATTGTCCCTGTTTACATTGATTACAAGCTTTTATTTTATGGCAGAACAAAATAAAGATTATAGAAGCTGAGATTTAATAAAATGAAAAGAAAAGAACCTCCCAACCATCACGATTGTGTTTTTTATTTTATCAACAAGTCTTAATGATTTCGATTTCTTTAGCCCCTATTTGCATAAATCTGTCCACAGAAGAATCTGAACCCTGTTAGAAACAGGTTTTACACATAAAATGCCCGCCTAAAAAACAACCCGACACAAAGCAAATCACATCCTTTGACTGTGGCCGTGCCCAGCTAGACAGCAGCCATTTCACAACACAGACTGAAGGAAGATTTTCAGGTGTTTACATTCCTCTGCTCTGTCTCTCAAACAAAGATGCGTGTAAATAATAAACAGATAAGAAAAAACAAAGAAATTAATAAAAAAAAATATTAAAAAGTATTTTTTTTTTTTTACTTAATCTATAGTTAGGTTATATTTACTGTGTAGTTTGAACACTGGTTCAGTCAACAGGATGGAAAACCTATGAGGACTTGGAAGGAAGGAAAATCAACAGAAGGCCTTAACCTCAGATGTTTGTTTCAGCGCCACAGAAATATGGGTCCAATATAAGGGAGCTAAAACCGTGGACCGTCTGGACGATCTTACCTCGTTATAAGAATTGGTGGTCCCTGTCTCCAGGTACAACATGTTGGCGCTGAGGTTGAGCAGAGCTGCTGCTGTTTGCTCCACTGGCTCCAGGATTCCCCAAATCTCTTTTCCCCACTCTAAAGGAGTGATACTGGCAACAGATGCAAAGTGGACGAGCAAAGGCTTCTTCAGGAGTCTATGGGTAGTTCGTATATAAGTTCTGAAGGAGAGAGGGGAGTGGTTTGGAGCTACCTGTCCAATACCTGACTCCACACCCATCCCCAGAAGAAGAGTCTTCTCCTTAGTTTATCTGTGAGTTAAAGTCGGAGGTAAACGTTCTGATTTAGACTCGTATCTAAAAAGCAACTCTAACATTTTATAAAACCAAAACCCATTAGAGCACATTAGGGATATTTTACCAACTAACCTGGAATAATGGGAACATGAGAGTGAGACGCTGGGCTGCAGAGTGACAGCTGCAGACAGGAGTTTTGCATATGAATCACTCTCCTCTGCATCCTGTAATCAATGGGGATGGGGGGGATCTCTGCAGAAACAATGCGGCTCCTGTAGGTTGCTTGTATCTACCAGAGAGGGTCTGTTTTGGAAACATGCATTGTTTCTCAGATGCCGTAATGGTGATGGCACTAAGACACCAGCTTCCTCGTAGCTCTGATAATTAAAACGGTCGTTTTAAAAAGAATTACTTGTTTCATTTTCTTTTTCGTTGTGTTTTATTGGAAAATGAAACCTTTGAATTCTTTTGGTGATGAAGCATATTTAAACAAAATTAATGCAAACTTATTACTTTCTTTTTATTAGATCATACAGTATATCATGTTTTCTCTGGATTAAGCTGAAAGACGATCAGCGCAGATGGGAAACAATACATAGATTTACAACATTTATGCAAATGAAAAAATCTGAAAATGATGATGCACATTAAAGTCTTAAAATGTAATTCCACTAAAGAATAAAAGCTGCCTTTAAATATTACCCGATTACTGACTGCTGTCAATTTCAGAATAAATCCAGCTCATCTGTGAAGCCCTCAGAGGTTTTGTTAGGGAAGAAACAGCATTGCGAAGACCAAGGAACCAGGCTGAGCCTAACTTTATTCTTTATTCTGGCCTTTATGGAACAAATTGATAAAAAAAAAATGAAAACACTGCTTAAAATAAAGCCAGAATCCCTGCTTGAAGTCTGACTCATGTCCTGTTCAGATAAAACCTAGATAGAAAAAATTGAGTTTTTGTAAATGTGGAACACTGAAGGGCTGGTTATACTACGGCAGCAGTGTGTCGCAATGAGCTTGTTGCAGATATTATTGATTTACGCTCAATTTTAAAGCGTGGACTGGCGCTATGTTATTCCACGGCACAATGCAACAGGGACAATCACAAACTACCTGTGGGTCTAGATTCGGCCGAGGCGGTGAGGAAATGGGGGCATTTTTTTGCGACAATGGAGGGACATGAGGGCAAAAAAGAGCGGGGATCCAGGTGGAAACAAAACAAGCCAGTAAGGAACCAAACAGAAAATACGCATAGTGTAGAGCGGATGTAGATTTGACCAATCAGAGGCCTCCTGTCAGCGGCACTGTCTGCAGTCACCTACAATTTTGGAGAGGTGCACCAGAGTGTCTGCAGAAGGGGCGGGGGCAAATTTGTGTTCAATGCGACACACACGCAGACAACCTGGTTTTTGGGTATAAATCAGCTCTATAAAGCACGGTGGAGGCAGCATCATGCTGAGTCAGAGCATTTCGTTTGGTAGAGACAGAGAAGCTTGTCCGAGTTGATGGAAGACAAGGAAAAAAGGTCACCTTCCAACAGGAAAACTTTACTTAATCATGCACCATGTTGTGCTTTATTATTGCATAACATTTAAATTCAATTAAACTTTGTGTCTGATACAGGAAAAACATAAAATGTGATCATAAATTATGAGGAGCTCTTTTTTTCAACACTGCAAAAGTAGAACACTTCAGATTTTCAACATTTAAAAATGTACCAGTTTAAGTTGGGGGGGTTTAGAAATCTGCACACAGCTGATGAGTCAACAGCTTCACACCTAGACAGCAGAGAGTGATCAGAAGGACACAAATCACATGCATTGCTACACAGCCTGAGGGCAGAAACTCTTGTCCTGTGGTCAGGGTGCAAACTTAAATGCTGCTACGATGTGAATTTAGTGTCCCAATCACCAGCCACACCCTGTTCCAATCCAGAGGCTACAAGCCTGCAGGTCAGACAGCTACAAAGGCTAAATCAACACTTAAAAAGCTCCACGGACCTTTCCTTCTGCAGTCTAACACAGGGTCAAACAGATGTTTTGGATGAGGATAACTAGTTTAACTAATTGAGTTAAAACGCTGGGTGTTTGCTGTATGCTCATGGGCCTTTAAATGCCTCTAATTCACTGTAGGCTTTAAATTAATTCTGTTAAAATCAAATCAAATGATCCATCTTACATAATGTACTCTGTAAGGGAGGAAACAACCTTGTTAACAGTGTAAAATTAGCTGCAACAATGTGAAACGATGGATGGCTCTATAGGATCTGCAGGGGGGGATCAGCAAATCCAGGGGCTCAGACAAAAGAGGCTTTTCTAAAGTTTTTTCCTTTTTAAGAGCCTGTTCCTAAAGTCGGCCAGATTAGTTTAGTATCGGGTGTCAAGCTGCAGTGTCTGGGTAGGCACAGACACCTGACCTAAACACACAGGCAGCTCTGATCCCAAGTGACAGACGCAAGCGGTCAATGGAGCATCACTTGGGTGGCAGTTTCTAAAATCCCTCAAATAAGTTGTTCAATTTAAATCTGCTTTTAAGAAGTCATTTCCGTACAATCTGGTGTTTTAAAATAATGTTTTTTACACTGTTTTTTTTTTTTTTTAATCTAAGTGGCATTCATCATCATACTTAACTAAAATGCAAAATTATCAACCAAAAAAAACAACATACAAACACAAACAAAGCTGATACTATTAAAGCTGCACAACATAAAAGTTATATGAGAGAGTAATGGATCATTTTTGTCTAAGGTGGAGGAGCAAGCACAGCTGGAGATGCAACAGTTCTGATTGCTGATAGGTCAGATCCTTCTTCTGTTTTCCCAATGCATTTAGTGCATCATAAACTAAAAACCCTTTTCAATCCATAAATGGTTTAAGCAAAAGAAAGCATCTTTTTTTTATGGTAAATGTTAGGGACCATCTGCTTTGACATCAGCGATTACTTTATTTTACATAGACTCCTCCTCCTCTTCAAAGAGCCTGCAGCAGTTTTATTTTTCTCTTTGGTGATCAGTAAACTAGCATTGATCTACTTTGGAAAACTGAAAAATTTGACTCAGAGTATCAAGCATCAAGAAATATCAAACAGGGTCGGCCCACAAGGAGACAACTTAGGTGTATCTGCACAGAGAAAAAAAAAAAGGTTAAAATTTTCAGTAGAGAAAAAAAACGCATCTTTTATGAGGCTCAGTCTCTCCTTATAACCCACAAGCACCACAATCTCCCCGTGTTTACCCATCTTCAATCTGAATACTGTTAATTGTACCCCATAACTCCTGTTCCTTCATATTTCCTGGAGTCAACAGCAAGAACAAAACTGGATCACTTTCTCATGGATGTCATGGTACATTTGTACCTTACTTATAGAGAAACGCATGGCCTCTTATGCCCTGAGATCCAGTTCCTTTTGGCTGCACATAACTAGGGAAGAAAGCCTTTAGCTAAGCAGCTCCTTGTGCGTGGAAGTTTTGTACAAAGGAACTGGAAGTTTACTGAGTTTTTATATTTAAATGCTTTTAAGTTGAAAGTAAAAGAATTTGAAGCAGCCTCAATGATCTGTAATTGTTATACTTGATATATTTTTTTAATCTACCCGTCATTTTAATTGAATGTATCTCTGTTTCTTATGTAACTTTGTTGCATCTTGGCCAGGACTCCCTAGAAAAAGACATTTTTAATCTCAATGGGATTTCTTTTTCCTGGTTAAATAAAGGTTAAATAAAAAAAATAAAATAAAACGGTAACGCATATGGAGGTCAAATTGTGATCCGAGCCATAGAGCTCGTAGTTAGATGTAGTCTTACAAATACTTTTCTCTTTACATTTCAATTTTTTGTATGCATTGTACCATGTATAACGATGCATTTTTATCTATCTCGAACATATTCTTTATTATTATTACTTAACTCTTGGTAAAAACAGAAAGCATTTTTTGATATCTAAGATCTCCTGTCTATATTCCTTTTGTTAAGAATGGTTTACTAAAGCCCGGCATACACTTTGCGATTTTTTTCAATCGTTGCACACAGCTACAGCTTACACTGTACGACGAAACCGTGCGGTTTCCTCGTACAATGTGAGTTTACAGCTCACGATGTATATTCTCACACTGTGTGGTGCAATCTACCTGCTCACACTGTACGTCTAAAAACCACGTGGGACTGAGCTCCGCAGTGAGATGGCGCTACTCGGACTGGTCAATCCAGAAGCCAAACCAGTAGAAGAGGAATATGAAGCTCACTAGAGTGAAACGCGCTGCCTTGACAATTCCTGCAATTTTGTGCTGAAAGCCCTAAAAGGAAAAGGCGACTACGTATTTGGACAAAGACATGACTGAGCAAACGTGGCTACTACGGTCTGTCAATTTTACAGAGAACTCCATTTTCCCCCTGCCATGCTTCTGTGTTTTCATCTGAGAAGAAGAAAAAGAAGAAGAATGCTTGTTTGCGCATGACCACTGAACGATTTTTCCCACGACGGCCGACTGAATTTCAAACGTGTTTGATTTTCTCCCGACCTCACGATTCCATATCGGGAGGTGGTTGTGAGAGGCTGATCGCCCCTCGTTACCCGCTGTAGACTACACGACGCACGATCAGGCTGAAGGTCTGCCCGATCTAAAAATTCTAGCACGACTGGAAAGTCGGCCCGGAGAGGGCAAAAACGTCGTACAGTGTAAGCCCGGCTTAATGTCTATGGAAATGCTAGTTTGAGTGGCTAGCTTCCCTCAAACTATATAAGCTCTGTGCGTCACGTTGAAATGTTGCCTCTTGTCATTGCAGTTGTCAGAACTCTGTTATCTCTACAGCTCTGATTGGGACCACAGCGTTCCCAAACAAAAAGCAAAAGTTACACAACTCTAGAGGACAGCTGTAGCTTTCCACTATAAAACCCAAACCATATAAAGGTTTGTTCACTAGCATGTGTCTCATAGATAATACAAGAAGAAATAATGTGTTTTTGCTCATCTCTTTGAATATATGTGGAGTTGAGTGAACTTA